TGAGAGAGACCAATTTGGCGTTCTCTTTTGCTTATACTCGGGATTGTGGAATTTAGACGAATTACTTCTATAGAGGTTTGTTTTTTTTTAAATCCGTAAGAAAGTCACAAATAATAATACTCAATAATTAAGCCTAAATAACAAAACATGCAAACATTCAAAAGAAATGATTGGAAAAAATGATGGGAAAAAGTGTTAAAACTTGTGAAGCGTCTTCCCTTGAAAAATTCTTACTTTTCAATGGCAATTTTTGACTTTGGGAAACTAGGTTATACATCAAACATTCAACATATGCATTATGTTCTACACTTGATTATGTCACATATAATATGCGGGTGAGACTTGTTTATTTGCGGCGCTAGGTCAAATTAAAAAGTTTTCGGACTTTTGATCGTCAGCTTAGGTATTTGCAATCTCCTCGTTCGACGACCAGGGATGTTATTTGTAACAGAAAGAAAGAATAGTCTACCAGCATAAATTCGAAATTTTCTCCACGTCGGCGATGCTGCCCACACACTTGGGGTGTTGGCTATAGGACAGCTATACTACTATCATTTTTAAGCAAAAGTGTGGAGAGAAAAAATCATTGTCATGAAGAAGCCATTAATCAACAGAAATGCACTTTTTAGAAGCGATACGACGCCGCGATGAGAAAGGTCAATCCAAAACTTCATCGCAAAATGATGGAATATCGCGAAATTCGAAAAAGAATAAAAGACAAGGCCGCATTAGATTTCATTAAGTTTGTAAGTATTTTAACCGGATCCCCTCTGGTGAATATTATTCTAATAACGCACTAGTGAAACAGAAATCCTTGCCTTATTCGCCTTATATGCCTTTTTTTAGCTCTTCGATATCGCTCGAAAGTCTCGCCATAATGAAATCGAACAACCCCAACAAACCAAAGCGTAAAAAACATTTTTGTTTCCCGTCATAACTTTGTTTTCTTCCATCAAATGTTTCAGCATTCTGAAACAAGCCAAAGGGTTATCTTCGAAAACACGTGGCATACTCAAGGAAGCCTTTCCAGCACTCGAATCAATTTGTAAGAGTTATTACAGCCCTCTCATTACGAATCAGAAAGAGCAGTACTGAAGAACATTTTGTGAAACTGAGGACTTATTAAAAGCGTAGACGATGATTGGCTGAAGACTGATTTTAAGTTGATCATGCTGAAACACCGCCATCCTCAAAAGAATCAGAAGACTTCGACGTGGGAGGCGATTTTTGAAACTTCTGCTTGCTACTTCGAGTTCGATAGCAATATCATCCTCTTGCAACTTTCGTTGTCATTTTTCTTACTTGTCAGCAAATGAAGCATTGGAGCTGTGTTCGAACAGCCTATCCTTTCAGTTGATTTTTCTATGAGTTACAAAATAGGAGAGACGAAAAATTGAGTTCCCTTCAATTGTCATAAACATCCTCTCAAAAGGTATTTATGGTTCTGCAAATGGAGTGCTGCGCTTTGCGCGTATCTGCTAATGTACGTGCAACAAAAGAAGACCTACAGTTAAACCGCGTTATTCTATAGGTGGCAGCTTCTTAATCTCAAAGCTGCTCCTCAAAAGCAGCGATTATGATAAGTTCAAGAAGTTTATAGGAGACGTGGTGGTGCTCAATGGTACGTCAGTGGCGAAAAAAGCGGAGAAATCCGTCAAGAAAACGCAAAACGGGACCCCTTTTTGGCCGTTGGTTTTCACTCATGAACAGGTAACAGCTCAGAAAGCGGACGTATGAACGAGTTCAGCGCAACGCGTTTGGTGACAGCATGCCAAACCACGCTCCAATCGAGTTGCTCCAGTTGTGCCGCTGCTGGCAACGCAGCTCGTCCAAATCACCAACTAAACTAGTGGGCGGATCGCTTTTGGGGGCGGAGTGCTTTCGAAGTCCTGCTCAGCAACCAGCGCACCTTCGTCGTGAAAGCGCTACACCTCGCTTCCCTGGCAGCCAAGTAACTGATTCGTGTGGTGCATATGCTTCCCCGATGCGCTCCCACTTTATCATAATAACCTTCGTAGTAGCATAGGGAAGATGCTCTCTCCGATACCTCAGAGCCGCACCTCGCGCGAACGAACAAGTGTTGATTAGTGCTCTTCCTGGAATTGTGCATCCTTCTTATTATACTATGTGACGCTAAAAGAAGTGAGACTCTAGAAGGAAACTGAAAGGTCCCCCTACCCCTTCTCACCGCTCTTTCTATCCGCATAAGAATGGCTAGACGTTGCAAGTGCCCGGCTCCTCTGCTTATATGCCGTTGTGCGGCCCGCACGAGAGAGATCAAGAGCAGCAGAGGAATGACGTGCCAGTAGGCGGGTAGGCAGTGGTCCTACCCGTGCGGTGAGACTATCATGCAGGTCATGTCCAGCGTTTTGACGGGCGGAAACGCTTTCCCTGCGTTTTAGAGCTTAGCCAGTTGTTCTCGCATCTTCATCGTCACTTTGTTGCCGTTGCCTGCAGGATGGGCATCATTGCTTATTGTTCCCACTGTTTCAGTCGCCACCCACCCTGAGTCTTGCGCCTGCGATGCCAAGGGCTTAGCCCTTGCCAGTAGACATAATTTCCTGCGCCGACTCTCCCACATACACATCACCAAGAACGGGCCTCATATGCTTTCTTCTTTGCCTATGCGACGTGCCAAATCTCTTGGCAAATAATTTCTGTGGACTAGTGACACCCCGGGTGGCCTTTTCGCAGCGATGTCCCGCTCGGCGAAGTTGCTAACCCCTTTATTGAATGTTCAAGCGGGCACGGTCAGGAAGGCCTGGCCGCGTGAACGTTAAATCGCGTCGCGAAAAATACTTCGATGTACGTCCACTGTTTTAACGTAAGGAATTTTCCTTATCAAGCACAGTAGTTCGACTTTCACATTCTGTCTCCCTTCATTGCTGCTCAGCCTCATCCTGGTTTGTTGTGGTGTTCGGTCTAGCGAAGACCGTGCTACAGTGTGCCCATAGTCGTGCGGTGTGACGAAGCCCAGTCCACCACTTGGGGGTCTTCGCGAAAAGGGCTGATCTTAGAGGTAATCCATTGCACTCTGCTTTGGCATCCGTATTCTATTCTTTACCTCCTGTACTATTACAATCCTATTCTGTCACTGCCAGCGTGGCCATTCACATTTCCCGCTATGGCCAGATAGTCCCCTTCTGGAGTCGATTTGATGGCATCGTCAAAGCTGAGATGGAGAGGCCGAGTTGCGGTGCGTACACGGAGAGTACAATGTGGCTACAAATAATGGTAAAGATATAAGGTGGTCATGGAAAATCTGTGCTGCAAAAAAAGAGAAGTGGAAAACATCCATTGAAGGGTAATAAACTGAAAACAAATGAAAAAATAGTACAATTACATGGTCACCAATGGACAAGAATAGCACAAGACAGACAAAGATGGAACGGTTCCGATTTGCAAACATGGAGGAATGTTTGAATCGCGTAAAAGGTAAAAGGTAAACTGAAAACTAATTGCCCTTACGAGGAAAAAGGAGCGAAGTATTCCAGGAAATGAGCTGAACGTAGCGTGTTGTTAGAAGGTCCCGAGTGTGTTCCAAACATTATGAAGCGGTTTCTTGAATCCACTGATGTCTCCATGATGTTAGTAGCAAGTGCCCGTCTTCACCAGATTCGTACAGCGTAAACTAGAAGATTTGAGAGAGGAACTCTGGGCAGCTCAACGGCAAGAGCAAAATCTCGCAAAATTCACTCAAAATTGGTTCTCTTCATTTGGATATGATCCAGCCACCAATCACCACATTGTTGTTAAACTCGATGACCTAGCTGACGCTGTCGAAAAGGGATCTGAACAGGCTAGGTGTTATTTGAGCGCGAGAGCGCTTGATTAACAAAGAGACGGTACTGAGACACCTCCATAGAGTCGTAAAGTACGGGAATTATTAAGTTTGCATCTTACATAGTTTGAGAAACAATTGGCTCCTAACACGATCTGACACTATCATATCCCTGCTGGTTTCCCATAGCTCCTTTGATTTACCATCCAGCATATTCACGAGTGTGTTGGACTGCGTACAGTGTTCTAACTAATCACAAGCGGTAGTAGCTTAGCGTGAAAGATCTAACAGTAAAAGCTCTGTATCCTCAAAATTTGATCCTTTTGACAGCAAAATCCTGCTTGGTGAGTGCTAGAAGGCTTTTGTGCTGAAATTGACATCCAATAACACCAGTGTAAGTGGTGAAGACAAACGGTGACAGCTTTATGGCAACGATTTGCATTGAAGCAAAGCAACATCATCTGTTTTTATGGTCGTTTGACGCCACCTTGCGGAGAAGTCCATGAAAATTGGAGACTCTGGGGAGTAATTTCTTCAACTCCACTTTCAGCCTCCTAGCCCTAAACCTCGTGTCAACGAAGTCCAACCTGCTCCCCTTTGGTCCACCTTCGAGACAAGAAATCTTACTCTAATCACCATGATGCCAAATCCAACATCCAATTTTCTTTCATCACAACTTAGGAATCCTACGAGACAGGCATTGATTACCTACCATCCCACTGACGAGCAGTGAAATTGGGGGAGCAGCCAAGGTGGCTCAGAAATATTGGGTTGTAAAGAAAGTAATGCAATCCTCTCTTCAATGCTCCCTTCGTTTTCGGGTAGAAAAAAAAAACTTCAGTAAGTTTATTGACAAAGAAATGGTTAGGAGCACTCTCACAGGTTCGCTACAGGGGCTTGATTATAACGAGGCGATCAGTAGCTTGATTCAAGGACTATTAGTGAATATCTTCGCGTAATGGTTTATGACTCTACCGCTACACGTGTCTCACCACTGTCAACGCTCTCGATCTTTTGATACTTCCTTGGTAGGCTAGCAGCACCTCGCCCACTCTCCATTACAGGTAAGGCTTTTCATGGAAGTTCGATTAAAAGTTCTTGGGTATGGGCACCACTATGGAGGAGGTAGAGTTCCAGAAATTGAGCAAGGCAGCTCGTCAAAACGCTGGTGGCAATGTTTCTACGCTCTGAAAGACAAAGCGAATCCCCATGTTCCGAAATGGATCCCGGCTTGAGACAATTTGACTGAGCTCGCCGAAACAAGCGACTGTCCTTACACTATTGGGGGAGTATTCCCATGGGCCAGGCTCTGAGATGGTTAACCTATACTTCGCTGACCTCCAAATCACTCATCTTTATGACGAAATGACGAGACAATAAAACTCAATCTAAAACAAATTTGCATGCTATCGTGACCTGCCCTCCGCCACGTTTTGGAACAGAAGCATCGAGAAAACTCCCGAGCCATGGAGACACAGGGTCAAACGAGGCTTCGAGTCGCGCAGTCTTACTGAAACGAACTACTCCACAACCCGATTAACAAGCCAGCATGGAAAAGGTCGCTGAATGCTCTTCCGAAAAACCTTTCATATCAAGAAACGCCGCCTCGCACGAGAAGATTCAAGTAAGAAAAAGTCGAGAAAAATCATCTGGCACGGATCCTTTCAAACAAAGCCGAGTAAAAAATGACGAAAGGTTCTACATCCAGAAAAAATACAATACGATGACAGCATCTCTCATCCTTGTAGTTTCCCTTGAGTAAGAAGTTTTCGACTTCAAAAGTCGTTGCAGGACTGCCCAACAAGAGTTAGCTATCCTCGTAATCCTACGACGTCCAACACTTCAATGAACAGAGTAGACGTCCTGGTGTAACCGCTTCTAGGTCTAGCTAGTCATATATGGCAATTGAAGTCGTTGTCGCGTTGACCGTCGAACAGCTTAATCCACCATGAATTTGACAACCTATTGCACATAGCAGTCGACCAGAATGCCTTCCAAAGATTGACATATTCAATTTGAAAGCGATTTTTGAGGGGGTTGTTTCGGAAGAAAATCGTTGCTGAAGCAGCTCAAAATTATAAAAACTTAGGCGACAGGGCAAGCAAGATTGGATTAAATGAGGGGAGAGAGAGATTAACAAGTTAGTAATGAGGGGCAAGCTGGAAAGTTGCGGTTAGTCATCATTGAACCAGAGGATTGATGCATACTCAATGGTGTCTAGAACTGCGCTCTGAATTACGTTCAGATAATTAAAGAGAATATTCCATGAACGACTCTCTATTAATCTCGGCATGATTAGTATAGTATTAGTTGTTCTCTTCGAGCTTCCGAGATTGATACAGAACTTTATTTCGGCTTACGTTTCGGCGCACTCGCCTTCTTCGGAGCCTGCAAATCGAAGCATATTCTTGAAACAATTCATCCAACCGTCATTTCAGATTACAAGAAGAAGAACTAAGGGATAGAAGCCATGAACAGTGACAAAACCCGCTAACCTTTACAAAAGCCGACAGCTGGAAGGCACCCTTTGCTTGAAATTGAAATTGAAGAATGGCCACGACGAGGATTTTTGCCCGAGTACTGCCGAAGGTACTTTTTCGCTGCATTGCTTTATTTCAACGACTATAGCTCCTTTCAGGGGCGATTATGTACAAAAGTGGAGCAGATTCGAAATCCACGTGCTTTTCTCTTTCCAACAGTGTAAAATGTGTTCAGCAACTTCCAACTTTAACGATTACATGTTTATGAATTTGATGCTGAAAACTGATTCTTCTTCAATAGTGGATTTCTTCCTATCAGTATACTTGCCCCCTTCCAAAATCCTCTCGATTTTTCGTATTTCGAGATTTTCACTTCAGAAAGCCGCTGTTGAAGCGCGCGCAACTGACTGGGCCCACTCTGGGACGCGCCGTGTGCTTCACATCCCTTCAGATTCGAGGACTCATTGAAAGATAAAATATCCGTCGAAAACGTGCGAATTTCCGAATTCTTCAACCTTGTCGTAATTACAAACTTAGGTAGCGTAAATTACCACACGACCCTTTCATCACGAAATTTTATGTGAGCGGAATAACATTGTTATTGGAAATCCTATGGCCAAGCTTGCACAGCATCGATCACTCCTTGATGTTTGTGTTTTATGGAGTCCTTTGACAGTGATGATCCTACTGCATCGATCCAGCCCGACCCCTTTCTTCTAGGGGGCCAAATACGACCCCCCCCCATGCCGACCTGCTGACGATTCCCCGCTGGACCCTGTGGAGACATGTGGTGGACAATCGCGGTAAACAGATGAACAACTGAACAAATCAGCAGGAAACAAAGTAGAATTGAAAATAATAATGGTGAAACAGTTTTGAAGACTCTCCTTGCAAATTAGTGTGCGCTGAACAGATAATATGGCTCAGATCAAGTGTCAGCAATTTATTATTTATTATTTATTATTTATTATTACGGTATTACTATTATTTTTATTACTGATATTATTACCTGTATCACCTGTCGTCCCGTTGATCGTCGATTTGCTCGAGCGGGCGCCAGCAACGTCTCCATTCGTCCCTGTCGCGTGCTAGAGTGGTCCAGTGGATCCTCCTCGCTCGAGGGACACGAAGTCCTTCATTCCTTTCGTTCAGAGCTTTCGTGAAGAAGTCTGACCATCGGGCCGGCGGTCGTCCAGGTGTTCGTTTGACGTCCCGAGGGATCCAGTCGGTAACCGCTCTGGTCCAACGGTCATCGCAAAATCGCATGACGTGTCCGGCCCACCTTATCTTCGATTCCTTGGCGAAAACGGCAGCGTCCCTGATCTTCGATCGTTGGCGTAGTTCCGAACTCCGGATTCCCCTCTGCACTTGCGTGTATAGGGTTACTCCTAGCATCGTCCTCTCGACAGCGCGTTGGATAACGCTGACCGCATGCTCGTCCTGCCTGCGCAGAGTCCAAGTCTCTGAGGCGTAGGTTAGGGCAGGAAGGACAGCGGAATCGAATGCGTCCATAACTTCGTTTGCATCTTCTCAGCTCTGGCGCTTCGATTCGTTCTTCAATAATTGATTTCCGACCGAAGTTGACTCTTTTACTACGGATCTCTTCGATAGCCATGTCCATCTGCCTACTTATCAACCTGCAAGAGGATGGATACGTCGTCCCCTCAGTTCTCTCTTCCGAAGTCCGACACGCCATCAAGTCGGTGAAGAATCGTACAGCACCCGGTCTCGACAGGGTCAAACCGGAACATCTGAAGAATGCGCCGCCAGTTATCATCAAAACTCTGGCTCGACTCTTCACGCGCTACCTGTCGGAATGCAAGGTACCCACTCCGTGGAAAACCAGCAGGACCGTGTTGCTGTACAAGAAGGGAGACCTTGGACGACATTGGCAACTATCGCCCAATCTGCCTGCTGTCTGTAATCTACAAGCTATTCACTCGAGTCATCCTTAACAGGATCGGCAGAATACTAGATGAAGGACAGCCATGCGAGCAAGCAGGGTTTCGAAGAGGGTTCAGCACGATCGACCATATCCACACGGTTACAAGACTCATTGAAGTTTCACGAGAGTACAAGATGCCGCTTTGTCTCACGTTCATCGACTTGAAGAAGGCCTTCGACTCTGTGGAGACAGAAGCGGTCATCGAAGCCTTGGGCAACCAGGGCGTCCCTACTCAGTACATCAAGATTCTTCGTGAGCTCTACAGCAACTTTACCAGAATCTCACCATTCTACAAGGAGGTCATCATCGACGTCAAGAGAGGGGTTCGACAGGGCGACACCATCTCGCCCAAACTCTTCAGCGCCGCTCTCGAGAACGTCATGCGTCAACTGGAATGGGAAGACATGGGAGTGAAGGTCGACGGCCGGCAACTACACCACCTTCGTTTTGCTGACGACATCGTTCTTATAACGCCGAACATCGAGCAAGCGGAGCGAATGCTGGCTGATTTCGACTGCGCCTGTGGTAAGGTTGGTCTACAGCTGAACCTAACGAAGACGATGTTTATGAGAAACGGATTGGTTCCTGATGCCCCATTCACGCTCAACGGAACGAACATCACCGAATGCTCCAGCTACGTGTACCTAGGTGGACAACTCGCGGTGAACAGATGACCAACTGAACAAATCAGCAGGAAATAAAGTAGAATTGAAAATAATAATCGTGAAACAGTTTTGAAGAACTCTCCTTGCAAATTAGTGTGCGCTGAACAGATAATATGGCTCAGATCAAGTGTCAGCAAGAAAAATTTCAAAAAAAACATAACATGTTTTTGATTGTTGTCTTTGGCAGCCGTTTGCTCATGAGAACTCTGTAGGAATGTTTGGACGTCGTACCCGTAAACATCGAACCCGACCTGGCTTTCTGCGCCTCCTGCTACCGACTACATCACGGGTTGCGTGCTTTTACCCTCTTCAACATTTTCTGGTATATTCACCGTAACTTATAAGCGCTTATAGAATGACGTGATGCCGGCGATTAGCAAACATTAGCGGTGAATCGCGAGGATGGGAGCTATAGCGGATACCTGCTCTGAATTGTTTTTGATTTGTAACTGCTGTATTTGACCGCAGTTTGCCATAGCATAACCAAGCATTTTGTGAAAATTTTCTTCAGCATTTAGTTCCTGACATTATGGCAGTCAGCGAATGTTTATTTTTCTTCCTCGAAAATGCCGTTTGCCTAGAAAGAAAGAACATCATGACAAATGTTGTTAAAATTATTTCAGAACCAAGTCGAAAGGGCAACCATCACAAGTTTTTAGGAGAGTATGAGCTGATTCAGCAGAGCAACTCAGATAACCAACAAATTTCTGGGCACTTGCACGCCTCGAAAGAACTGCATATAAGCAGCCGGACAGCTCTAGTCACGTTCTATCCGAATATCGTACTTCTGTCAATGGCTCACCGAAAAGCCTTCGACCTACTTCGTTGTGGTCGACCTTGTATATATGCAATCAGGCGGCAGCAAAAAGTACGTGTTTTCGGATTTCCTATGTAGCTAGGTAACTGGTTTCGTTTTAGTTAATGCGAATGACGTCTTGCTCGAACTATTCCTTATAAGTGAAAAGGACAGTAGGTACATGGAGGATCTTATGGAAAAGCACACTGCTGACGGAGTTCTCGACAGGGTTCTTTTTAGTTCTGTTTCAACATTTTCATCGACCGGATCCTACCGCGGTAGGCCTGGATAGAAAGAAAGGAAAATTAGGTGTCACAAGCACTGTTTTTAGCCTAACCTTCTCTACGAGACCATCACGAATACAGTGGCTTCCACCTTCATTTAAATTCTGTTTTTAATGAAATTGAGAGGCAGTCGGCCAAATAGTGTGTGTCTGCTGCGCTCACGTATCACTCATCGTGTGGTAGGTAGCGTTTCCCAACAAAGCGCATTTCCAGACGCAGTTATTTTGCTGCCATTGCTGAAGCACTACCGTATCGATCTCATTATCCTTATCTGATTGCAATGGAGGGTTTTGAAACGTGGTGGAGCACAGAGTATAGGAATGGATGGTCTTTCACGTGCCAATAACTTTACCACCCATGCACAGTCACGCGTAGTCACTGGAATATCTGGATCCACTGGCCCATTCCGAATGGTAACCGCGTGATCGGTGTCAAAACACTCGAGTCACACAAACCTTAAAGGAGGATTTCACGATTAGAATGGAGGTCGAGGAAGAAGTAATTTACCTAGTTGAGGGAACCCACGGACCTCCTGAGGGTGCGAACTGATGCGCAATTCGCATCGAAAAATTTGACCTCGGCGACCTATTATGCCTCAAAGTTGGCGGGTCGGCGATCTCCGCCCACCGACCAGCTGATCACTCGCCGCAGATCTATACGTGGGATTGATTAGATAGCAGAGAGAGCGTGATGTTGAGGAGGGCACAGCGATAAGAGTCGCATCAATGCGCAAATCAGCGGGGAAGGAAGGGGTCCCATTTCTCGGGTTCTGGGCCGTTTCTCATGGTTCTTCCTTCTTTCGTGTACCACTCACCATCCCTAGGTTAATTTGAAATGGGTTGCCTTCCCAGCGTGAATTCGTCCTTTAAGGCTCCGGGATAGGCAGCGTCAACCTCCTTCAACTCTATAATACTGTATGACAGGCAAAAGGTGTTCATGTCGTGCCCCTTTGGCGTCTTGAAAGTGCGCGACGAAGGCGCTGGAAGCTCGCTCGACCCGCAATCCACCCCCTTGTCCTGCCAGCTGTCTCAAGCTCCGCAGTAGACCGCCACGCGACGCTGCTATCGAGTGCGCCGCATACAAGGCTTGCATTCAGTAGAACCAAGGAATATCAGAGTAATTTCTAGAAAGCGAATAATATTAGCGGTCAAGTGTAATGCAAAAGGTTGTAGCGCTCGATGTTGATCGTCTTTCTTGTCACAACTCTAACTTCAAAATCGTGCGAGGTTCCAAACCATCTACCCACTTAGTGTTGCAGCAGTGTGTTTCCTGACTGAGTTGAGTGCTGGCTCTTCTCAAGTCACTGCAACAGGCGACATCGAACTGGAGGGCTAGAACGATTTTGAAACATGGGTGTTGCGAGGATCTCAGAAAAAAGACAATCAGCGTTGAACGCTAGAACCCTTACACACTTGACCGCTAAAATTCCTCATTCTCTGGAAAAAAAACAACTATTAGGATATTCCTCGGTCCTGGAATGGTTACATTTTTGGAAGAATATCTGTCATCGGTCCATTCTTTTTTGAAGACTGTGCAGCATCGTTCCCATGTAGGCTATGCAAATCATTCTTCAGGAGATTACGATTTCAAAAAAAGGCAATATTGATAAAACCAACATATTATGATCCATCTAATCAATAGTCGGCGAAAAATATGCTGTTCAGGAGAGGTACAATGAAGCACTGCGACAATTGCATCCTCGTCTACATATGACAATGGAAGATTTTCGTAAAACCTATAGAGATATAGAGTCCCAAGACCAGGCTGCTAAACGCTTCATTGATGATGTGAGTATGAGTAAGTATCACCCCAAGGATTCGTTTTGTAAACGATTTCATGAGGAATGAGCCCGCCTGATTTCAGCTGCTGGTTATCGCTCGCAAGTCACGAGATGGCGAAATCAAACGACATCTAGAAACTAGGAAGTAAACGAAATTGTCGTTACCAACATTTATTGTCATTGTTTTCGCTGTGAGAGATTTCAGGATTTTGCATAGCTTCTGTGGGTTGAAAAAACGTTCACAAGATGTCCTTAAGGATAAGCTGCAGGAGCTGAATTTGATATGTGAGTGGCACCAATAATTTAGATATCATCAGTGTGTATGATGATTTCAGACATTTCTGCAATTTCAATTCGAGTGTAAGTGACGGTAAACTTCAACATTGGCCTTTCAGTGAAATGTGATCAAGTACCGCCAGATGAGGAAAGTTTCACCACAACGACACCGAAAACAGATGGGAGAACTACCGAAACGGCAACTACGGAAGAGAGTGGAGACTGGGATTCTATTTATTAACAGTAAGACAAAAATTCGTGGCTGGCCGAATAAAAAGAATACATTTTAGCACAAACTGTTATGTTATCTCACACAGATTTCCTACAAATTCTGGAAAATAAGAAAATAAAGCGAGCTGCTCGGTTGCTTCTCTTACATATGCTTATCTCATAAAACCTGCCCGTTTTTGAAATCCATCCCTCCGGGCTCGGGTAATTGATACCAGACTTGTCCGGGAGGATAAAAAAGTGACTTAGTTAGCCCACGCAAATGTTTGTATAGGCCAAACTGCATTCAAACTGCATTCACTATGAATGTACAAATGAAAGTAGAATGC